CTCTGCGCTTTGAAGGAACCGAAGAAAAATCAGTTTGGGCTCATGGCAGAGCCTGATATACGCGGAGACTGTGGACTAGAGTTCTGTGGCATATCAAACATATTTAACTTATAAACTGTGCAGTCGTTTCTTTTGCACTGTTCCTGTCTTTGTCTGAATCTGCACTCGTAGCTTATCTCGTCTGTTCCATGCCTCCTGCACTTGTAAATAGTTCATGTTTGTCTCACATATTTACCACTTATTGTTTTGCTGTTTGTGCTGAACACACTTTAATAATAACTATAGGTTTCCAACAAGAACTGTGTCTTTATTCACAGCATCAAAGTTAAATGAGTTGAAAAGATGAGTTTAGAACTGTCACATAAACCTACAATAGAAACACATGTAATTATCTCAAACAGTTTGTTTTGCTATTGTTTTTGTTCTGAAGAGGAGAAAGTAGCAGCATAAATGGGACCGCTTTGGTTTCTCAAGCAACTCCTGTGAGATCGCCATCATGTGGTTGGGTGTGGGATTGGGTGTGGCTGTGTAGGTCCAACGCAACCGCAACCAGCGCTGCGCGAGTGTACACAAGCCTTTAAACACCTGGCAACAGCACAGATGCGAAGGGCATAATGAATCCAGATCAGATGGTTTTTCCAGTTCTAACTAATTGTAAATGGGAAGAGTTCCTTTGTTGGATAGAAAGCCTTCAGGATGAAGTACACCCTGCAGTCAGCAGTCAGGACACCCCTACTCTTTACTGTTTCATCATAAATGTCTCTTTCACCATGTCTCCATGCAGTGCTGTCACAGGACCAGTGCACTGACAATAATTGGCCAATGGGAATCTTTTGCTCACCACTGGTCTGCCTCTGACCCTTTCCAAGTTTCTCTGAAAGAAGGCATTGTCTTTGGTCTGGATTGAACAGCTCACACAGTTCTTTGTTGAGCTCTTAAAACTTGGCTTGAATAACTGGAATGTGATTAGCTTTGCTTACGTACGTACTGTATTTAGACATTTTTGGTGCTGCCAACGAAACAGGCATTAATGACAATAAACGCACAATAAATGCTAGTTTGTAATATGGATGTCGAACAAAAGGGTTGATGAAATGGTGTGTTGTATCTCATAGGCAGTTTGAAACCTTTTAAAAGGGATACGTTATAGATTGGTTATTGATCTCCTTTTATTTTCCTCACCTTTTATTAGTACACCTACAGAATTTAATCAACATTCAAAATTGTTTATTTATTTGGAATTTATCATGTTTTTCTTAAACTGGCTTCTTATATAAGCAAGCACACCACATGCCATTGTGTTTATGTGTAAACCTTCTCAAGCATGTGGCCCCTATGCCAGCTCCACCTCTCTCCACCTCTGCACTCCTTCATTTTCACCCTGTAACTTTGAGGAGTAAGTTCAATAATTAAAGTAATCTCTGAGCAAACGTGTCGTCAGTTTAAGCCTAGAGATATACTAGACTACAACATGTAAACAAATTTTGGCACAAACTATGGCTGAGTTTGGGGACATCCAGAAATCGGCTACTCTACCATCCCGCTCGTGTGGCGGGACTCCAGGGAACAGACAACTTAATCGTCGAGTGGGTTTTCCCAAAATGGAAGATATCACCTTTGACAGTTTTGAGATGCTTTACAGTGGAACGGTGGATAAGATCAAGAGCCATAAAATCAACCTCAACATCAGTAAGTGCTTATCAATCCAACATGATGATGCAAATGGTAACAAAACTCTACGGCTGTAATAAGCGCAACGATTAATCACTACTATAAAAATAATTGCTATAATATATTTTCAGTATTTTTTTTTTAGTACCAATCCAATGTTTTGCAGATGTTCTCCATCACTTTAACTTTGTTTTGGTAAATGTAGAAATAATCACATATTTGCTGACCTTGTGGGATCTAATCGATTACTCAAATGGGTAATCAGCTAATCAACTATCAAAATAATTAGTCCTCTTGTCTATCAGGGAAACCCTTTCACGTTTTACAAATGTAACTTTTAAAGATGATTCCCCACATAATATACATGGAAAGTAGGTTGTGTTTTTGAATACATCGTGATAGCTCAGCCATTTGTTTGTCTGTGTGTTGTGGATCAACATATAACCGTAAGGATCAAAGGGACAGTCCAGTGCTACACTAAACCAGAAACATGAGCTATATTTAGGAGATGCATATGAAAGTAATTTTAGCTTCAGACTATCATTTAATGTTGTCAACGTTGTACTTGAGGAGACTTAGAAGTTTCACTTTTGTCCTCAAAAGTTAATTTGGCTCATCTAGAGATGTTGAATACTATATACTGTAATACACGGAAATCCTCCATTTTGAGCAGCTTCTATAGAGGTACATGAGCAAATGTAAAAGTGAAGCAGACTACTTGTGGAATAACCCAATAATATTGGGTTCTATATCACCTCAAAGTCTCAGAATCAGGAAGAATTTTCTCTATATTTAATATTTATGATCTGAAAAGTTCTATGGTTTACTGTTGATTTGCTTTCAGTCTTTGCTGAAGCCGGTCAAATGTTGTACTTTTCTTGTACTTTTAGACACATTATTTGATACAATGTTTTAATAGAGTGAGATTATATATGCCACAAAAGGATTACCCAACACAATACAAGTGAAAGTTCCTCGGCTTAATTTATTGGCATAAATGTTTAATTGTCGCAGGCCATTGTATCCACTTTACCCAGCATGCATTGGGCCTGGTGCAGCGTTTGTAATAGGTTTACAGCTGGTGCAGGACCTCCTGGCACAGACTGCTCTAAGCTGCTTAGTCCACTGTAACCTTTGGTTGGCCTCAAGTGGACCTGTGCACATGATCATATATGTATTTAGTTACATACCACCACAAACATCCACACATTAGAAGAAGAAAAATGTATTAAGAAAAATCTGGTTCTCAAAAACTATTCTGGAAGTTTCTCTGGGTGTCACCATATCTATTTGGTTACATTTGTTTCCAAAGTTCTACAAAAGCGAAAAACGTCTTTAAATACTTAATACTAATACCACACACGCAAAAATGAAATGCAAACCTCTTCAAATAACTTCAAGGATTTTCTCTGTGACAAATCAACCAAGTTCCTGCTTAACTCTGATATACCAACACAATAGAACTGCTGCTTTCTCGTATAATGACACAATAATACAAAATAATTTCTATTTACTTAATTTTAAATACAGTCCTTGGATTTTAAACTGTAGCTGCTGTTGATTGAACTTTTAAATCTTAATATTACACCTTCATTCTTTTTATGCCAAAAAGTTAGATATTATAAGAGCATGTGCTAGTGATGGTTCAATGAACATTCGCAGTCATAGATTATTGCAGACGGCTGGGTAGATGGCCCATTCATTAGCCACAGGAGGCAATAGTAATGAATGTTTTATTAGTTTTAATGGGTTTGCATAAAATATGTAGTGAGAGATGAGATTAAGGAAAAGAAATGCCAGAACTACAGCCATGCTGTTTAGTTTATTCTTATCTTATTTTTTGGTTTTGACAATACGGCTTAATTTAGATTTCCCCTCTGTCATTTTCTTTAACTGTTGCTGGTTCATTTTTTTTTCTTTTTTTAATTAAATGAATTTAATGAACACCTTTGACAAACCCCCTTTTCTCTTTTGGGGTCATCTAAATTCTTCCAGATATTTTCATGAATGTGGTTGGGCTTTAACTGTGGCATCTGCTTAATTATGCATGTGTCCCTTTAGAGAGGACAATGCTGAGAGGAAATCCAGCTGATGCTGTGGCTTTAGAAAGCGCTGATACCTGAACCTGTGCTGTGAGCTGACAGAACAGAGAGAGGTACACAGGGCAGCTGAAGGTGACTGGGACAGCAATGCTCTGAGATACAGCTACATTTGAGCTGGATAGTAGATTTCAGGAGTCATTTTGTGTATGAATTTTGACACCTATTTAATAACTTCTTAAATTGTTTAAAAATGTTGTAGTTGGTTTCGCACTCCAATAAAATGTTGACCCTTAGTATTCTTTTTGTTTTTATTTTGTATCTCTTTTGTTCTGTTGTAGGTGGCTGAGATTTGTGGCATGGATCAGTATCAATAGTGATGCCAATTTATGGGGTGGGGGATTATAAGCTTCACTGGGGCCAATATTGTTTTTCCCCACATTTTCTTTCCAACTCAATATCCTAGTCCAGTCAACTGGTTGAAAAAAATTAAATTAAAACATATATTTATAATAGCACTCATTGTCCTACTTACAGAAAACTTGGAGATTCTTATCTGTGTTTGTGTCCAGTAGGTTTTGACTGTAACAGCCTGCCCACTGGCCTCTCCAAATGAGCTGTAAAACAATTGCAGTATTGAGTCCTGACTAGAACAAGGAAGCAAACATTACTCCATTACTCCAGTCCACTCCGCACTGGCTTCCTGTCTCTCAGAGAATAAACTTTAAAGATTCTCTGCTTGTTTACAAGTCTCTCCATGGACTCGCACCAAAGTACATCTGTGACATGTTAGTGCGATATGAACCAACTCTGACTCTGAGGAGCACAGGGACTGGCCTTCTGCTGGTGCCCAGTGTCGGAACTAAACATGGGGAGGCAGCATTTTAGATTTATGCAGCTAAAATCTTGAGCAGTCTTCCTGAATGTGAGACAGGTTTCTACTCTGATACTCTTCAAATCCAGGTTCAAACCGTTCTCATTCACTGTGCATACAACTGAAGAATTGTCTTATTTTACTGTGATTTTTTCATTTAATAATGATTCGTATGATTTGAATTCATTTTCTTGTTTTGTTAAGGACTGAGCTGTGCTATACAAATTAACTTGCATAGCCTTACTTCAGTCAAAGTTCTATGTATCTGTTATCTGCCTCCTTGAAATATCTGATCAAAACATAAATGTAATGGCTTCTGTTGAAAGTTCCGTCTGGGGAAGGTTTATTGTCTTTCTTATATCACATATTGTACATGCTAATTTCAAAATACTCTTCCTCTTGTTTTTTTTTTTCAGAGGAGGAGCTGAGGAAACTTCGAGAAGAGACCAATGTGGACTCGATACGACAAGAATTGGACAGAGAGCGGACCAAAAGGCTGGATCTGGAGCAGAAGATGAACGATCTGCTCAAAAATAGGTACAAGACACAATCACTCTGGGAGATATGAATATATTAAAGCAGTGTGAATAGGGACAGCTCAGGAATGTCATCAGACAAAGCAGCTGTTGCTGTTTTCCCCCAGATCATTTCAGCACAGATTTTGATGGCTCACATCAGATGGTGTTTGTGTCCATTTCTTGGCTATTCCCTGAGCTACTGTGTGTTCAAATATAGGCCATAGCAGCTTGCGATGAGGGGATTCCCTTTGGACGGGTCTCTAAGGAGATGGAATGAGTGTAGAGGTTCAGGTCAGTAATACAGGGTTCCATATTGAAGAAGTTGCTAGATCTTTTCTTTGAACTGGATATAAGTGCTTGTAGTTGATTTTCAGATGTGCCCCTGAGCAAGCCAGCTGATACGCCAACAGTAAAGCCTGTGTTTTAAGTTTATTAGTGCACCAAAAAAAACGTGATGTTCATGTTGGGCACAATAACTATGAATGTTTTAAGAAATGAAAGGCTGAAACAGGACACTGAGTTCAATGAATAGTTCAATGAATAGTTAAACAAACATGGTTAATCTAACCACAGCATTATTTATTCTTCAGTTGTTAGTTTATGAATTGTGGCAGATCCCCACATTCTGTTTGTTCCCTCAGGCTCGAGGACTCACCACCACAGCCTCCCCGAAAACAGCAGTCCCCCTCCAACAACGGCACAGGTGGGTGCCCAGACCAGAAGATGGACGTATCAATAACAATTTATGTTGAAAGATATTTCTATGATAACATGACTGGGCGTCAGTCATAATATACCCAGCGCGGACCATCCCTCCGTGTTGCAAGTGCGTGCCTTTTGTGTAATCGAGCTGGATTATGAAGCCTCTGGAAGTCCATGTCTCCTCCGTGTCTCCCCTTGAAGAACAACTAAAATGATCTAAATAAAAGCTGGGGTCTCTACATTTTCCCTAGCATTAATAATGAATATTGGTTTGTGCCCAAAAGTAAAATGTTTGGAACAAAACAAACAGAACAAACCACAACAGGCGTCTTGTTTTCATTTTATTTTTATTTGCATACCTAAGAAAGAGCCCTGTGGGTCATTATTTGACTGAGAGTGGATTAGAGCCAATCTAAATTTTAGTATAGTCAAAAAGTATAATATCTCGATTAAGAACCACGTTGTCAAATGGGTGAGTATCATACACTCCTGGTACTCATCTGGGTACCTCACTGAAAAGAGTGACGTGCACCCCTGTGTACAGTGCCTTGCGAAAGTATTCGGCCCCCTTGAACCTTTCAACATTTTCGTGAAGTGGAACGAAATTTATTGGATACTTTAAACTTTTTTAACAAATAAAAAACTGAAAAGTGGGGCGTGCAATATTATTCGGCCCCTTTACTTTCAGTGCAGCAAACTCACTCCAGAAGTTCAGTGAGGATCTTTGAATGATCCAATGTTGTCCTAAATGACTGATGATGATAAATAGAATGCACCTGTGTGTGATCAAGTCTCCGTATAAATGCACCTGCTCTTTGATAGTCTCAGGGTTCTGTTTAAAGCGCAGAGAGAACCATGAAGACAAAGGAACACACCAGGCAGGTCCAAGATACTGTTGTGGAGAAGTTTAAAGCCGGATTTGGATACAAAAATATTTCCCAAGCTTTAAACATCTCAAGGAGCACTGTGCAAGCAATTATATTGAAATGGAAGGAGTATCAAACCACTGCAAATCTACCAAGACCCGGCCGTCCCTCCAAACTTTCATCCCAAACAAGGAGAAGACTGATCAGAGATGCAGCCAAGAGGCCCATGATCACTCTGGATGAACTGCAGATAACTACAGCTGAGGTGGGAGAGTCTGTCCATAGGACAACAATCAGTCGTGCACTGCACAAATCTGGTCTTTATGGAAGAGTGGCCATTTCTCAAAGATATCCAATAAAAGTCTCTTAAAGTTTGCCACAAGCCACCTGGGAGACACACCAAACATGTGGAAGAAGGTGCTCTGGTCAGATTAAACCAAAATCAAACTTTTTGGCCACAATGCAAAACGATATGTTTGGCGTAAAAGCAACACAGCTCATCACCCTGAACACACCATCCCCACCTCAGCTGTAGTTATCTGCAGTTCATCCAGAGTGATCATGGGCCTCTTGGCTGCATCTCTGATCAGTCTTCTCCTTGTTTGAGATGAAAGTTTGGAGGGACGGCCGGGTCTTGGTAGATTTGCAGTGGTCTGATACTCCCTCCATTTCAATATAATTGCTTGCACAGTGCTCCTTGAGATGTTTAAAGCTTGGGAAATCTTTTTGTATCCAAATCCGGCTTTAAACTTCTCCACAACAGTATCTCGGACCTGCCTGGTGTGTTCCTTTGTCTTCATGGTTCTCTCTGCGCTTTAAACAGAACCCTGAGACTATCAAAGAGCAGGTGCATTTATACGAAGACTTGATTACACACGGGTGCATTCTATTTATCATCATCAGTCATTTAGGACAACATTGGGTCATTCAAAGATCCTCACTGAACTTCTGGAGTGAGTTTGCTGCACTGAAAGTAAAGGGGCCGAATAATATTGCACGCCCCACTTTTCAGTTTTTTATTTGTTAAAAAAGTTTAAATTATCCAACAAATTTCATTCCACTTCACGATTGTGTCCCACTTGTTGTTGATTCATGACAAAAAATTAAAATTTTATATTTTTATGTTTGAAGCCTGAAATGTGGCGAAATGCATGATGTTATATGGGTTGTGAGGCGCTTTGCGTTGCCTTGTGTAGGAAAGGCGCTCTATAAATAAACGTTGATTGATTGATTGATTGAAATGTTGAAAGGTTCAAGGGGGCCGAATACTTTCGCAAGGCACTGTATATGTCAGTGCTGTGATGTTTGGTCACATAAGAAGTCTGCAGTTCTCAGTCAAAACGAGTGGCTATTCTTAGACACAAAACTATATGTGAGAGTACACAATCTAAAATGTGATGCTCACATTTTTTCAGTAAACATTTACAGATAAATCAAATTCCTCTTACCATACTTTTATTTTAATAATATGACAACTCTGAGCATGTGCTGGTGATGGTTTGACCTTGTGAATGAAGTTTCCGAGCCGGAATACGAGGAGCTATGACTAATATTAGAAAATGGGTTACAATTGTGGATCGCCTCATCCAGGCCAGGACGCGCTGCTGCAATGGTGTCGGAGGTGTCTTTACATACACATTTTTATCACATATATTTAAACTTTAAACTTGTAGAAATTAGATACTTTGTTTTCCCCATTTAGTGTTGATAAAATATATTTCCAAGCAATTCGATACAGTTCAGTGTAAAAAAAAAAAAGGCTTTTGGCCTCCTACCTAATGATCAACCCCATTTTAACAAAGATACATAATTTCTGCTTTTTTATTAAATATTATTGAAGTTTACTTGATGAATAATTTATATGTATATATATATATATATATATATTTTTTTTTTTTGTAACATTGTATCCCAAATGTTTGATTTCTTAAAAATTTTGAAAAAAAGGACACTCTCCTGCTACATGCCAACCCCCCCTTTTAAAACCAGTGTTTATGGTTCTCTCTTTGCTGCAGAGAAACCGCAGAGAGAGGTGTGGAGCTCGCGGCTGCAGAAGTGGCTGTACGAGCGTTTTGGTGTTTACCTCGAAGACTTCCAGTTCCAGCCCGAGGAGAGCACCGTGGAAGCAGAGGAGCCACTAAGTGCTAAAAGGTGCGGCCCTGACAACATGCACGGTTCACTACAACATCCATTCATTTGTGGTCAAACACACATAATTATATGAGAGCATAAGTAGTGTACAAACATTTAAGGCCAGTAAGGTATTTTTGTTCTCAACAATGCTTTGTGTTATGTGCTTTGTGTTCTGTATTTCATTATAGCATGAACTTTTGTGGTCCCTAACAATGTTGCCTATACATTAATTCTTTTTTCAATCCACATTCAAAACACATGTTCAGAGTAAACTGTGACCCTTCATTCCACTGTCCATTTTTAATGCATGCTTTTTGCAACTTTTTTTTACGCCATATACATTTTTTCATTATGTATGTGTTTTGTTAACAATAATGATGTTATTATTATTATTATTAATACAAATTAATTGTCATTGTTATTATAATAATTATTATAAGTTATTATATTTCTGGCTTGGTTTATATTCCAATAGATCAACAATTCAACTAAATTCTTTCCCCACATCACTTGCTGTGAATATATTTGAGGCTTAACTTTAGATGGAGCTGAAAAGTAGGTGTTGCTTTTAGTATTGGTGAGAATGTTCAAATAGATATGGCCTTTTAACAACTACAAAGATATCACAGATCTCCTTTGAATACTCTAATAATATTTTTGAAGTTGGATATTAAGCCCTGAAACATCCAATCAATGCTCAGTGGCAACGAACAGACTTTCATTGAAGGATAATGTCGTAATATGTTTTATCAAATAGTTTATTTTTGTGGAAGTAGTTTTTTGTGTGAGATAATGATGAATGCGAAAAGCAATATGAATATATTTTATTGGATTTTATTTATTTTTTCCCATCTTCCTGAGTGGATTCTGTAAGTTATATTATTTGATTGAAAATTAATACAGGGATTGATAGCTTTAAAGGAGACTTACTATGAAAATCAACTGCAACATTGTTGATCAAAAGCAGACCTGGGGTTGTTTTTGGATGTATCCTTTTTTATTGGTAAATCAAGTGTGAAGTTCTCCCAGAATATTGTTGCTGTGATTCTTCATTCATGTTTGTGTTGTACATTATTAAACCATTGCTAGTGACCGTCAGATGATTCCTGGAGCGCATGTGCAGTTTGAGTAATGATGCCAAATATGTCACACCGGTGACTATTGAATAACCAGTATAATACTCCATCATCCGACTCTCTGACTCTCCTGTTTTCCTCTTGTGCGTTAGTATGTGTTTGTGATGCTTTATAAATCAATAATACACAATTAATTGCTTATTGCCTGGAGCCTTTCTACTAACTCAGTAGTGGGAGTAGCCGTGTCCCCCATCCTCCCAAGACTGTGAATGAAAACTTTTGATGCAAAAGGCGAGTGGTGTGACGCTGGTGTCACTTGGAGTGACTACCTTTAATTCCATCAACATATGTGCATTCCACTTATCTCAGAGTTGCTCTGGGTCCACCCGATGGGTCTGACCTTAGGGTTCCTTGTGACTTTGCTGGTGTTTGGTCATTCACTATATGCACCACCCTCTGGCGGTCAGTTGGTATGAAATGGAACAAAGTTATGCATGTATCACAGCGTCCTGTCACTCAGAACCCATGCAGTCGGGTGATGCCGATTCGATATCCCTCCTGTTGGTCATCCAGTAGTCACAGGTGTGGCATATTTGGCATTATTACTCAAACTGCATACACTAAAGGAATCATTCACACACAAAAAGTGAATAATTTTTTTTCTCCTGAAAAAGATTCTGACCAGAAACATTTCTGGTTGGAGTCAATTAACTACCGTGAAATATAAGGTTGTGCATTAAGTGCATCATCAAATGTCTTTGCTTTGAAACGTTTCTAATTTCATTCCTCTCAATACTGGTATGAGTCATTCCCTTTTGAAGGCTGCTGTACACCTCCAGTGCTGTTTCCCTACGTCTGTTCTGACCTTACCTTTTATTCCTTTTCTTCTGCAGATTGACGGAAAACATGAGGCGACTAAGTAAGTGTATAACTAGTTTTGGCCAAAAATATTGATGAGAAAACTTTTACTCATCCTGTAGGAAATGATACTGATCAAGCTGAAGATTTCATGAAATGTGTTTTGCATTCTTTGTTTTAGAGCGAGGAGCCCGACCAGTCACAACTTTTTTAAGAAATCTTTCAGCCTTATCTAATTGGCACTCTGTCTACACATCTGCTATTGCCTTTATTGTGAGTATAATTCAGATTTTGCTGGAATTCCTCAACTCCAGTTGCTCTGTTGATGACTATGACATGTACCATTTGTAACATTTTAGTCTTTATTTTAACTAATGCATTTCATTCAAACTCGTCTTTGTAGGTCTACATGTATGCTGCGTGGCATGGCTGGGCCATTCCCATGTTCCTCTTCCTGGCCATCTTGCGTTTGTCTTTGAATTACCTCATTGCCAGGTAATACCATATTTAATGCTTGTGTTGTGTGAGAGGGCACAGTGTGGAAGGTTACTGTGGGCGTTTGGCCGTCTGTAACCTTGTGTTGTACAAAGTGCTGAGTTTCTGTCTCTGGTCTTGTTCCTGTTTTAGAGGCTGGCGGATCCAGTGGAGCATTGTGCCTGAAGTCTCTGAACCTGTGGTGAGGCCACTTCTGTCCATCATTTGACCCTTCAGATTACATTACATTATATTAGATTATATTCATGCTGTGGATGTGATTACAGCAGGAGCCGCCAAAGGAAGACCTCACTGTGTCAGAGAAGTTTCAGCTTGTGTTGGATGTTGCACAAAAAGCACAGGTAATTTGACAATATTGAGTCAATTAATTCCTTCTTTAGCAATCAGAGTGTGGTAGTAGTCTATTTATGTGAGATCATGGAGAATGTGAAAAGCAATATGAATTAAAAAAATATATTTTCTTTTTTCCCATTTTAAATTTATTCTAGGCATGTACTGTAACTATATTTTTTTTTTCAGAATCTATTTGGTAAGATGTCAGATGTTTTGGAGAAGATAAAGAAGTGAGTCACCACCACTTTATTTGATGAATTACTTCTATTATAATACACATTCATCATTTATATTTATTTGCAGCTTATTCATGTGGGTTCAGCCTGAGAGCACCAGAAAACTGTACATTTGCCTGTGGGTTGCGTTCATCACCTCTTGCGTCCTCCCATATAAACTGATGGGCTTCATGATGGGTAAGGGACTCAAGAACTACTGAAATACTTCCCTTTCCAATCAACTCAAAGAAATGTGTAAATATGTTTAATGTAACTGGTAATAAGTATTCAGGTTTTTTGTTTTGTTGGTTTTCAGTAATATATCTAGGTCTTGTTTAATGGATGTTCATGGGGTCACACATTTTTCATGGGATAATTCATTCATCTGTTTGAGAATCTGCTTTGCCCAGAGTGAATTATTATCTCAAAGCAATTATGGTTAATTTAAGAGTAAACTAAATTCAAGATACACACATGCCATTTGTCGTTTAAAGGAGCAATATGTAATATTTGCATGTCAAGTCATAATTAAATGACCCGAATATTTCAAAAGGCATTATTAAATCATACTCTTTTCGAATTCATCTTTAACTGATAACAGTAGTTCAGCCGAGATATTTGATCATCAAAATTAGTTTTACGGCCCGTAAAAGTTGTTATTGTTTTGATTTTGATGTCCTACCCTCCGCCGTTTCGCCAATCAGGAAGTGTCATGTAAGTCCGTGATCGAGTTGCCAGAACTCCGCGCGGCTCACTAATCTCAGTGGTAAAATAACATGTGGCGTAGAACTAAAAAAGGTCTTGTTATGACTCTCAAATCATTAATGACAAAACAAAGACTAAAACGAGGATTTATATCGGGACGCCTTTGAACAATTGAGACAGCTGATAAAAGTTGATTCCGTTCTTCACGGTGTCTCTGTTCGTGTGAACCGGTGGCCTAGCGGTCTAAGCTGCGCGCTTACGATGCAGGAACCCGGGTTCGATTCCGGGGTATGTCTTTTTGTATTTATTGCATGTGATCACATTCTATGACAGATTGCTCTAAAAACGGTAAAAGATGAAGGTCAAGACGTTTTTTTGCAGATTATAGCTTAATTGTAAAAATAATCATTTAAGACCACATGTACCCCAATTAAAATAATGTTAGTCTCTTTTTGATGTGGGACTTTTACATGTTTGTCTAAAAAATAGGGAATAAATAAAATTGAAAGGTGATATCCTCTTGAGCAAACCCTGATGTTGATACGCTGAAGAAATACGTTCCAACATCCATTCTTCCCACTCCTATTTTGGACATCAATTTCTTATTTATTTTGCATAAACTATGTATAATTACATTGCTTTTATTTTGTTTTTGTTTTTTATCTCAAATGTCCAAATTATAATAATAAAAAAACATGAATCAAAACATTCATTCAGCATTAGCACGGCTGTCATGGCAATGTGAATGGAGACGGACAAACAACTGATAAAATAATTCCCTGTGTTTGCTGCTGGATTTGGTGTGAATCTGGCAACCTGAGTCAGGGAGAGTGGGAGAGGACTACAAAATATTGACTGTGACTGCAGTACCACTTTTGGCCAGATTTTTACATATTGCTCCTTTAAAACATAATTATACATTGTGCAAAAGTTCCCTGTGTGCACAACTGTAACAGGTCTTTCACCTCTTCAAAAGTCTTCAAGCGTCATACAGGTATTTTTGATCATACCTGTATTCACGCTAACTTGTCTCCTTCAGGTCTGTATGCCGGAATCAAGTTCTTCATCATAGATTTCCTGTTTAAGAGCTGCCCAAAACTGAGGGACAAGTATGACACGCCTCACATCGTGTGGAACAGCCTCCCTACAGACCCCCAACTGAAAGAGCGGACCAACGCCACTGTGTCCAGACGGGTAAACATTACATTGCTTTACATTAGTGTCTGTTACTGCCTTCTTACGGTCATCCCCAGTTAAAGATGCTACTATTAAACATGGTAATTCCAAAAGGACTGTTGCTCCCATTATATCATGTAATGTATTATTTCTCACTAGTGAATACTCTATTATCATTTATTTATGTATTTATTGCTAGAGCAGAAGCAAGTGAACACTCTAATGATAAAATAACAAAGATAACACTCTGGTTTCCCCCATCATCGCAAAACATAAAATCCTCTGTTCCGAAGAGGGTTAGGGTTAGGGTTAGGGCCGCCACTGCTAGGGTCAGGTCACAGGTTGTTCAGTTCAGTTTAGTGTATTACAAATATATACAGTAAAATCAGTGCTCAATAAATAAAAACAGTGACAACAGTATATCCTACCTTACTTTGTTGAACATTTTCTAAATGATTATATGTAACTTCATAGAGAACCAGCCAGGTCCCTAAGCCAGGTCCCTAAGCTAGGTAACCAGCCAGGTCCTGTCCTGTGTCAATATTATAAAGCATCATATACAGTAAGAGGTTGGAGTCCCTCAACCATGTCCAAGCTTCCAAGTAACTACCTGAAATGGTTCAAAGGGGATTTTTCAACTCGGGTGGGATAAATCCCAGTTTAACCAGTTACCGTAAACAAGCATAACTTCTTTTATAAACTTTGTTAACATCGTAGTGTTATATTCTTTAGTTGCTTGCTGAATATGTTCCTAAATTACCGTTTGAGTATTCTGTTGCTTTTAAAATGCATCTGCAACGGCAAAGCATTTAAATCTGGAGAAAAAGTTTTTTCTTGGGTAACTCTGACAAAGATCTTTACAAAGTTGTCATGGAAACTATGGTAACTGCATTGAGCAGAGAAAATGGCCAGTGATTGAGATGGATTAAGTTCACAGATAATAACTAGTCTTGTGTAACAAACAAATCATAAGGGCTCTGCATTATGTACTGAAAGAAAATGATAGTCGTTGAGTATGTTATAAGGAGAAGGAAAAATACGTCTACAAAGGCACCTGAACAAGCGGTAAACTCCGTTTGTTCTGTGCTGGGGCTGAAGGTCACTCAGTGTTTGATCTCATCAGGGGTAAATCTCCCACCACTGCACCCCCTGTAATGTGTCAAAGTGTAACATTGCATTCATACTTTTAAAGGCCTTGTGCACTAGTTGTGACTGAGCAATATGCAAAACCAAGCAACAAACAATTCTCATTATTTTGTTTTCTTTAAAGATGGGCTGCCTAGCTTTCAAACCACAAAACATGTAACTATGCAATACATGGCTCTAGAGCAGTTTGGGGTTAGCTCTGTTTTTCAAATGCATGTATGGGAAAAAACATCTGTCCCATCTTTAGATCAGCCTTTTCAGATAGAAAAGTTAAAAATAAAGGATCGCCCTCACTCATCTCAGCCCAAAGCCCCAAATAATGTCTCACTTTCTGAGCAAGTCAAGGATAACATGTTTTCTAATAGACTGCATGTGGTGGTCGGATTTCTTACTTTTACAAGACTCTTTCTTTAGTTTGTTGTCTTTCTGGATGTACTTGAGCTTTACTTGTCCTACTGTGGTCTTGGTATCTCAGGACCTGCACCAGCCGGGGGGTAAAGAGTCCATGTGCCAAAGGAGTGTATGTGATGTGTGCATGCGTTTGTGTGACATGGAGTGACCTTCTTCCCGTCTTTTTCTCTCAGCTCTCTGCTGTTGAAAAGGTAGGGTGTGCCTGTGCCTGGTGTGCTCTGCCCACCCCAGAACTGCCAGTGTTTGAATCCAAATGTCTCCCTTCACCGCTTCTGTAAATGCTTATCAGTATTATTAGAACTAAGTTGATATTTTGTAATACATTTCCGTAGACGCCTTGCAAAGTAGCACTGTATCCAATCAGTTCAAAGCCTTGTGTTTAGAAATATATTGAAGAATACCCTTCCCCCGTTATTACCAAAGTCATTATGTTTCGCCAGGTAGTAAGAGTGCTCTATATGTAGTGTACTTTGTTTATTTAGTTAGTTTTGTCATTAGGGCTGCATGGTTTTGTCAAAAAATTATTTCTGACCAACATTGCGATGTGATTTTTGGTCCTTCTCAAAAGTAATTTGTATTTAAAATAACAACATAAAGAAAGTGATTTTTAAAGCATATACAGTATATATATGATTACCTCATACACATTCCCAAACATTTCTGTAAATCTGTAATTAGAGCTCTATCTTGTAGTCCAACCATTTTTTTCTAGTAGAAAAAAAAAAGAAAAAATATATATATATATTTATCTTTTTACACAACATTCTTAGTCAGATCTGAGTTGAGCATCACATTTTACAGTTGATATACATTATGAAAAAGAGATGAGTTGAGATTTGGAACGAGAGAATAATGCTTTTGTCTGACGACAGGACAAAAGATACTTGGCTCCATTGAAGAGCTTACATAAGAGCCGCCTTCACAATTATTTGTCACCACAAAAATGTATTTCAATTCATATGCAAATAATTGTGCAGCCCTAATACACGTCCACATACAATAGGTGCATCTATTACGAGCCGAATAGGAATTACGCTTGAAAATATTGTGTGGAAAACTGTTTGGGCCAGCTGTCACTAATTTGTTCTTGCAATAACAGTTGAGTAAGTTTCCTACTTTAATGACACTTTCCTTCTTTATTGACACTTGTTACTACTGCATTTTGGGGAATCTTAAGAACCAACACTGGTCTGAAACTAACTCAAAAAAAGGCTTGTGCAGTGCAAAGACGCTGATTTTCTCACTAATACTTTATGGATGTTGAATGAATGACGGCTCCACTCTGCTTTGCACGTGCCTCCTGAGTCTGCTGCAGTTAAAGCTGGGCAAACTGTTGGGCTCAGCAAAGGCTGCAGGAAGTCATCTATAAACAAACAAATGCACCGACGACATGCCTTCCTCTGCTTCCATGACCTTTTGTGACATTTCCCCTGCACTTCCTCTTCTGTGGCCTGGTGCAGGTTCAGCCGATGGTGTCCAGAGGCAGCCTTGCTACTGTCCCCTGTGGTGTGAGCAGAGAGGAGGAAACAGGCCGGTCCCATAGCACCAAGAAGGGAGCTTTTCATGAAGTCTTCAGTCTGCCAGAGTCAGAGCGCCCTCTGGCAGGTAAAGGATGGCACTACAAGCAAATAGCAAAATGACATTTTAATTGCATGCAGTTTACACCACTGCATGCAGACATAAAACAGACATTAGTTTTTTGTGTTTCTGTGTACTGATGTCATCCATAGTACCCTTGGAAGAAGCTTTTAGTAAGTAGCCTTCACCTCGAAGTGATGTCTTTGAGCCATCAAATCAATTGGCAGTCTCAGGAGCTGATCATTGACATGATTGGTCAGATAATATTGTTCATATCTTGACTTCAAAAATATAATACCGGTATTGAAATAAAAACATCAGGATCATGCAGAGCACTCAAACTGAGTGTTCTAATTCATTTTAACCTGCAACCAGGCTTTGAAAATATTTTCTACCCAAGTTTAACATCTATTGCCCACACAGCATTGAACTATGTCCTCTTCTCTTTAAATGTTTTTATTGAACCTAATTTGATTTAAAGTGATCAAGACCAAAAGTTGTTTATGTTGGGTATTGACAATAAAGCCAGTGTAGATATTCATGATGTCATAAACAACATGAACAGGTGTTGAACTGCCTCTGGCCTCTGTGTTGTGCTCCTGTGGCTGCAGTGTGTGAGAATGGCTGGAGATGCTGCTTGATAAATAGAGACCGGAAGATGCCCACAGACTACATCCGCAACGGCGTTCTCTACGTCACTGAGAAGTGAGCGACTTTTGTATTCATTCCTGAAAAATATTCATTCTATGAGCATTGGCAAACACCTCTTCTTGAGCTTGTAAATAGAACGTAACACTTTTTCTCAGTTTATTTCCTGTGTAGAGTTTATTTTTTCTGTTCTTTCGATGCTCTGCTGAGTGTTTTTCTTACACTCTTGTTGCAGCTATTTGTGCTTTGAAAGCTCCAGCTCAAGGTCGAACGCATCAAAGAAGAATAAAGTGATAAAACTGGATGATATTACTGACATTCAAAAGGTAAATTCATCTGTTCTGCTATTTTCTGTCATTGAACATATTATCAAATCTTATCTTATCTTTTCTTTTAGTACAAAGTGCTGTCAGTGCTGCCAGGAAGTGGAATGGGGATCTCTATAGCAACACCCTCCACGCAAAAGGTACCATACTAAAGCTGGGGTACCTATTTTTGAAGACACAAAAATTATTATTAACCATGTAAAAAAAGATATATCTAACTTGTTCCTCGCTCTCAAAACAGTACTTTTCATATGCATGCATATTTGTCTTAAATCAGCTTTTTCAGACTGGAAAAAGGAGAAGACCACCCTCAATCAGCTTTATCTTTCAACTGCACAAGAATAGAATATATCTAAAAAAAACTTTAAAATAAAAAAACTTTTTAAAAGCACAAAAGAATCATAGAATTAATGAAGCATATAATATTACAAATTACTCATAGTAATAATTATAACTAAAATATCTTATATGAAAAATAATAATTCCCAAATACATTCACAGAAAATGGAAAGGAAGCAAACAAAAAATTAAATAATACTAGAAATAGAATATAAGCAGAAGTGCTCTCCCCGCTGGTATTAAGTAAAAAAAAAAGGCTGATTACTGGAAAAAGTTATATTTATGGGTAAAAGAATACCCCTACTTGGCTACTTGAATATTTGTGTCCTACAATCATCACTGCTTCATAATCAACCAGAAAAGGACCAAAGTCTTTTCATATGGCGTTTGAAAGCAGCTATTGATTTTGGTTTTTGTTGTTTTGTCCCGCAGCCATTGGTGTTTGGTGCCATGATCCATCGAGACGAGGCTTTCGAGGCCATCTTCACTCAGTACATGAAGACCATGACGAACAGTAAACCCCCGTCCGCTGAGCTATAGGCAGCGGTCTGCCACTGAGACTACTGACTCACCCCACTATGAATGGGTCAAAAACCCATTTCAGGCGGTTCAACTGCACTGGACAAAACCCCTCCCACTCCAGAGTCTGCCTTCAGAGATATTTCCTTTTGTGGGAGGGGATAAATGATTCTTTAGTTTCTAGGTACCGGATCAGTGGAAGATCTTGAAATTGTGTTATCTTTGGGCTGAGTTCATCAAGGAGGCTGGTTCTCCCAAATTCCCAAAAACTCACGCTCGCTCCTTTGCTCGCCGTGTCCCTGTGTCTGCATGTGTCGTGTGTGCGTCCAGTGGCTCTTTTTGTACTTCGCAGTCATGAGAGTAAAGGAAAATAAAAGTAATTATTACATAGGCAGGAGGGAGGGAGCTGGACAATTTCAAAATACATGTGCTTTATCATGTTGATCGTTATATTTGTGTGATTTAAATCTGCCATAGTGAGAAGTATCCGTACACAAATCCAAAGGGCTTCTTTATGAAGTTAACACGCTGTTGCGCTGTATTTGGTCAAAGTTGATGGCCAGCATTTACAGTTTTCTCTGTCATATTTGTAGGCACCATTCACCATTAGGACTAGTGTAAAGTGAGTGGAAATGTAAACTCAGTTAGATTCAAACATAGGGTTAAAATTTGGTAATAAATGATTAAGATAATTATTAATACAATTACTTGTACATAATGCATATGTATATTTTTAAGATTATCCCATCGATTCATAAAATTGAATGGATGACGATCAGTATTTTTCTATTTACCAAGCCCTGAGAGAAATGTCCAATTTAGATTATAATTATAAATCATTTTGGTGCCTTTCTAGGTTAAACTTCCAGATCCATCCATTTTGACTGGACTGGAATTTAACATGTTATTTTTCCACATATTTTCATGCATAAGCCTTTTTATTTTGCACATTTATTGCTTCACAGATTCCTCCACGGGTGCGTACACTCAACTGGTAGATCAACTGGTCTCATCAGTCCTCATTAACGACTCAGAACTGGTTCAAAAGAGTTTTCTGAGAGGACTTCTGGACCTCAAGTTTGGTGCTTTCACAGCTCCATAAATGAAACATAATTAGCCACAAGTAAACAAAAAATGGTTCCAAATGAGCCAGAGATGGATCAATTGTGAACGCACCCCAAATTATAGGAATGTGTCTTGTTTTGTTTATTTGTTGTCCTCATAACCTGCCTCAAAGTGCAGAGATTCAGAAAAATAATGGCTGATTTAGAACTTCTACTGCCATAGCCTGAGAATATATTAAGCGCACAATATTTTTAAGTAAGTACTACTAACACTGCACTTTAGCTGGAGAATCTGACATCATTTCACACCTGTTTCTTATAACGCAATGTAGAAAGTGTATTTTAGAGAGATTCAAGCTGGTGTGCAAATGGTTGTGATATATGCTGCCTAGACCGAATCTAACTGGATCACTGCCATCAGAAAACCCAAGGACTGTATAAAGACCATTTTAAAATGTTGGTCTGACCAGAACACTTCTGATAAGTCATGTGAGTGATCTAAAAACCCCACCTTTTTTAAGCAATGCCTTTAGTGATGTCTGCGATGTTCGGTCTTATTTCTGTAGCAGAATTTCAAGTACGGGACATTTTTAAGAATGAAGCTGGTCTTTGTTCCTGAAGAATGGTCATTTATATAGAGAAATATATTGCCAAAATATTGATTGAAGAGTTGTATCTACTGGAATTAATTTCGCAGCACAATGAGCCAGCTTAAGTGAAAAAGACAAAACAAAAGGAATGTCTTGACAATGTTTGCTTAGGTTTAAAGTGGTTATCTGTGTGTCAAAGATTTGTTTTAGTTAAAAAAATGAAGCATTGTTCACATTTTGATCATGACATCTTTGCACTCCAAATGTCAAGGCTCCTCTGTGTTACCTGGACATGAGGTTACAAACATGTGACTGACCAACAAGGGCGTTTTGTTTTTCTCGTCAACACTGGATTACTTTGGAAAACATGCAATTCTCTTATGTTCCTGTATTGTAGATCGTTGCCGTCTTATTCTCATTGCACAGCTCTAGTTTTGCTTTTACTGTTCGCCTTTTTAAAATCTCACATTAGTTCAAAAAAGGCTTGACAAAACACAGAATGTATGTTTTTTTGATTATTATTATTTATAGCTTTTTTGCCAAATGTAAATGTGTTTCTGTTCACCACCATCGTCTGCCTGTTTTATTTTGTTTACACTTTAAACAGCCAATTGTTTTGGCATCATTGCTTAGTTTTTTTTTTTTTTCAAACCCAGTTTGAATTCCGGCTGTGTTTTGGAGTTATGAAGACTGGATTGTTGAATTGTGATATGGAACGAATGTCTCAACTCTGATGGCTGCATGACCATTTCTGCACAGCAATGAAGATTTACTGTGGAGTTTAGAAATATTACATGTGACACAACTTTCCCTTTTAGTGACCACGAATCAGATAAAATATCCAAACTGTATTTAATTACTTACAAATTTCCCCTTTAAAGATTTCCATAATATTAAAAAAGAAATCCTATTCAAATCGACTGGAAATCATATGGAATAGTCACTGGTCTATTCATGTGTAAAACTGTTGGCTGTATATGTATGTTGCGTTTAATGCCGTAACATTTTCTCTGGATGTGCACATGTACAGTTCCTGAGGCAGAGATGGTCTCCTCTCAAACATTTCACCGATAAGCAAAGCTGCTGTAGGTCGTAAAGATGACATCACATTTAAAGTTGCACAAAAGCACTGCCATACTGAGGTTGGACTGAGGCGGACCTGTCGTTGGGACAAAACTGTGCTGTTCTATGTTCCTCCGTTGAAGTTGGCATCTTTCTATGTTGCTTTTTGTAATAAAGCTGTTGTTCCTCTTAATTTGTTGTCAAATTAATTTGTTCTATATAATTTCATTTTATAACACATTCTCCAACCTGTGGGCCTTGAGATGTCATTTGGTGTCTTTAAGTTCCAATATCGGATTAAGAGATCCCACAGTTGGGAAATTTCATTGTTGCATCACCAGTTACACAACAGTAGGAATGAGGAGCACACAGTAAGATAAATGAAGTCTCTTACTTCAGCATAATAAAGAAGCAAGAATGAAGTACACACTCTGACTTTAGCATTTGAAAAAGTCAGTATAAAATACAAAATGCAACTGTTGCATTTTGTATTGAGCCCCAGGCTGTGTGGCTAAGCATGAGAGCTGAGAAAAGAATACTTGGTGAAGTATGTCTTTGTCTTTGTGATGGTGTGTGTTTGTGCCTATATGTGTATTTTATCTGTTTTGATATCAACCTGCCATGGTGGGACTACGGATGAAATCTAGCCTACATGGCTAACTCTGGTATATTTACATGTTGAAAAACACATGTTGATTAATGTGCATTGTCCTAATTCACAATGAAAATAAAAAATATAAAATAAAAATAAGTGAAAGGAAAGGAAGCTAGCCAGTCACTGAAATCCAAGTATGCATGTAACCTCAATTTAGAAAATATATACTCTTGTGTTTACTTAATCCGCTATAAAGTGGAAATATTGCAATTATGGTGATATTAGTATTGAAAAAGAATATTGTGACAACACTATTATTTTGAATGTCTTCTGGAAGATGATTTTTGTTGTTGTTGTTTATTGTTGAAACGTTATCAATACCCTAACAGCCTAACTTATGCTCTGATTATATCTAACTATAGTTTTCTGTAGCTCACTGGTCGTTGTCATTACTATCCTCAGTACCATGTCATTTTTATTCATTTTATTTTTCAAAGGGCACCACATTATTAGAACATCTTTGTTGTTATATTATGTTTAACCCATTTATGCGGCGATTGGCAAGTCGCCAGTTTCTGATTGGTCCTTCTTTTAGGGGGCGGGACAACTAATAAAGCAGGAGGGCGGCACCTGCAGCTCACGGCTGCACTCCTGTGTGCTGCCTGCTTGGACAGCACTGTACTCGTACACATTATTATTGGAGATTATTTTAAACAAAAAGAGTTAACGCTGGGATGTTTGAGCTGAAGAAGAGGAGAAGTCTGCCCCTGACCTGCTCCAAAGACGCGGAGGAGTTCAGAAGAGTGGCGGTGCGACGCAAGCTGAAGGCACACACAGGTACATGGGCTCTAACATGATGCACACACAGGTACATGGGCTCTAACATGATGCACACACAGGTACAGGGCTCTAACATGATGCACACACAGGTACATGGGCTCTAACATGATGCACACACAGGTACATGGGCTCTAACATGATGCACACACAGGTACATGGGCTCTAACATGATGCACACACAGGTACATGGGCTCTAACATGATGCACACACAGGTACATGGGCTCTAACATGATGCACACACAGGTACATGGGCTCTAACATGATGCACACACAGGTACATGGGCTCTAACATGATGCACACACAGGTACATGGGCTCTAACATGATGCACACACAGGTACATGGGCTCTAACATGATGCACACACAGGTACATGGGCTCTAACATGATGCACACACAGGTACATGGGCTCTAACATGATGCACACACAGGTACATGGGCTCTAACATGATGCACACACACAGCCACGGTTCTGTTGTTAAACATTAGAATCACTCATATTTTGAAGAGAATTACTGTACTTCTCACTCAATGTTATTTTTCCATAGGTGGCAAAACTACTAGTCTTGGGTACAAAAAACGTGTGTATATAAACTCTTGATATTCTCTTATGAGTAAAAGTATAAAAGTACAAGCATCTACTAAAATCAAAAAGTAAAATGCATTAACAAGTTTAACAACTTTATACCCTTGTAGAATGAACAAGATAGGAAGAATTTTAGCTGAATGGTCTTAGTTAGAAGTTTAGCTAACCACAAAAAATTGATTCCATTGAAAGCATGGTTAACCACTACAAATCACCTTTTTTTTTCTTATTGTTTTTTAGACATTGTATGTTTGTGCGTGTTTTGTCTGTTTTTTTGTTTTGTTATATGGACTCTGTATGTGTCTGAATTAAAGATTAGACAAATAAATGAATATAATACTTATGTTGTGTCACCATCTGTAGTAACTAGTCATACAAAAATGTAACCGGCAGGTTTTAAAGTAAAGGGTAGCAGTAAGACGATGTCTGAAAAATAAGTAGTAATGTACCAGTATACTCATTGCTTAGTTACTTTCCTCCTATGATTATTTATTTATTTAGAGTAATGGTTGACGCTATAGTATCCTGCAGCTGCACTTTATCAATGACAGGTGTCTTTTTTTAACAATTCAAAAGTTCTATCTAACAGTTTGGTGATACAAGGAAAAGTCAATGACATAACAATCCTCAACAAGATATATGTACAACTTGGCACACAATTTATTTATAAGCTGAGGTTGTCTTTGGGTTAAACCTCACAAGGAAAAGCTGTGACATAGATTACATCAGTTAAATTGAATTAGTGAAATCCCCCCCGTTCTTGTGTGTTTGAGTCTCTTTGTGTAATGGCTCAGAAATCTCTTTCCCCTGATTGGGATTGGACTTTGAATGTTGTTTAACTCCATTCATAAATTTCTCTTTGACACACAGACCCCAGTGTTCCCCATAGAACTCTGTATATTCCGTACCACTGGTACACATCACACAAGTCTAAAAGATAACAGAGATTGGTTAGTATACTGTGTTCCAGTGTTGCACAGGCCTCTAAAACAGTAGGACATGTTTGTATTCTGTTTTTTTATTGTGTTTTTTACCTCCTGTGGCAGCTCAATGTGGTGGTGTATGTAAGGTGCATTTATAAAATAAAGGCATTATTATCATTATATCAGTCAATCAAAATTGAATTGTGTACAAGGCAAATTTAAGTGCTTCACAAGAGCAATTTAAAAACACAGTTCCAAATGCATAAAAACATCAATCTACAACGATTTCTTTAGAGTCTGACTTGGTTCATATGGCACTAACATATCACGGATGTACTGTGGTGCAAGGCCATGCAGAGACTTGCAAACAAGCTGAGCTGCTTTAAATGTCTCCTTAATACTATGAATATATTTATAGTGTTTCATAGTGGATACTGTGGATACTGTGGATACTGTGGATACTATGGATACTATGGATAATGGATACATTTCTGGATCTGATTGCATTGCAATAATACAATAGACATACATTGGCATACTGTTTTTTTTTTTTTTAAGAGCTTTTGCACAAAAGAATAATTCACAAATATTTAGATCTGTTCTCCTCCTTGGTAATCTCAAAGATAACCACAATAAAAGACCACTAAGAGGTTCAGTTTTGTGTGTTTGGGATGTCTGGAGGAGAATGAAGGGAGCTGTCACTATTTTCCTCACACACATCTCCAACATCGCTTGTGTAATGTTGCTCCACTCTTTTCAATTATGTGCAAAGTTTCTGGATATTTGCTGGACTGGTGAGTTAATGGACTGGACTGCCACCTTAGCGTGGTGGGGGAGTTTGAGTACTCGGATGATCCTGGGAGCTATGCTGTCTGGGGCTTCATGCCCCTGGTGGCCTCCCATGGCAGACAGGTCTCGGGTGACGAGTCAGACAAAGAGCAGTCCAGAAGACACCATGGACAGCACTCATACGAAACCAGTGACGTCGCCCGGCATGGCGCAGCCGGGGCCCCACCCTGGAGCCAGGCCTGGGGTCGGGGCCCGGCCGGGCTCAGCCCGAATGGACGACGTGGGCAGTCCCTCCTGTGGGCCCACCACCTGCAGAGGGGTCCGTGGTGGCATGGTGCAGAGAGGACTGGGCAGCAGTCGAAGGCGGAGACCTCGACGACCCAGTCCGCACACACAACAGCTGGCTCTCGGGACGTGGAACGTCACCTCACTGGGGGGGAAGGAGCCCGAGCTTGTGGGGGAGGTTGAGCGATACCGACTAGAGATAGTCGGCCTCACCTCCACACACAGCTTGGGCTCTGGAACCCAACTCCTTGAGAGGGGTTGGACGCTCCACTTTTCTGGTGTTTCCCGCGGGGAGAGGCGGCGAGCTGGGGTGGCCATTCTCATTGCCCCCCATCTCAGCCGCCACGTGTTGGAGTTCTCCCCGGTGAATGAGAGGGTCGCGTCCCTCCGCCTCCGGGTGGGGGACAAGTCTCTCACTGTTGTGACGGCCTACGGGCCTAACAGCAGTGCAGAGTACCCGGCCTTCTTGGAGTCCTTGGGAGGGGTACTGGACGGTGCACCGCCCGGGGACTCCGTTATTCTCCTGGGGGACTTCAACGCCCATGTGGGAAACGCCAGTGACACTTGGAGAGGGGTGATTGGGAAGAGCGGCCCCCCTGATCTGAACCCGAGCGGTGTTCAGTTGTTGGACTTCTGTGCCAGTCACAGTTTGTCCATCACGAACACCATGTTCGAGCACAAGGGTGTCCACCAGTGCATGTGGCACCAGGACACCCTAGGCCGGAGGTCGATGATCGACTTTGTTGTCGTATCATCTGACCTTCGACCGCGTGTCTCGGACACTCGGGTAAAGAGAGGGGCGGAGCTGTCAACCGATCATCACCTGGTCGTGAGTTGGATCCGCTGGCAGGGGAAGAAGCCGGTCAGACCTGGCAGACCCAAGCGTATAGTGAGGGTCTGCTGGGAACGTCTCGCTGAGCCCCCTGTCAGACGGACTTTCAACTCACACCTCCGGGAGAGTTTCTCCCAGGTCCCGGTGGAGGAGGGGGACATGGAGTCCGAGTGGACCATGTTCTCTGCCTCAATCGCCGATGCGGCGGCCCGTAGCTGTGGTCGCAAGGTCTCTGGTGCTGGTCCCGGCGGCAACCCCCGAACCCGGTGGTGGACACCGGCAGTAAGGGAAGCTGTCAGGCTGAAGGAGTCCTATTGAGCCATGATGGTTCGGGGGACTCCTGAGGCAGCTGTCCAGTACCGGCAGGCCAAGCGTGCCGCGGCCCGGGCTGTTGCAGAGGCAAAAACCCGGGACTGGGAGGAGTTCGGAGAGTCCATGGAGCATGACTATCGGTCGGCCTCAAAGAAATTCTGGCAAACCGTCCGGCGCCTCAGGAGGGGGAAGCAGTTCTTTGCCAACACCATGTACGGTGCGGGTGGAGAGCTGCTGACCTCGACGGGGGATATTGTCGGGCGGTGGAAGGAATACTTTGAGGTTCTCCTCAATCCCCCCGTCACGTCCTCTGTCTCAGAGGCTGAGGATGCTGGGGCGGATACATCCATCTCCCTGGCTGAGGTCACCAAGGTGGTTGGTAGCCTCCATGGTGGCAAGGCTCCGGGTGTGGATGAGATCCGCCCTGATTATCTAAAGTCTCTGGATGTTGTAGGACTGTCTTGGCTGACACGTCTCTGCAACATCGCGTGGCGATCGGGGGCGGTGCCAATGGAGTGGCAGACCGGGGTGGTGGTCCCTCTCTATAAGAAGGGGGACCGGAGGGTGTGTTCCAATTATCGTGGGATCACACTCCTCAGCCTCCCCGGTAAGGTCTACTCCAAGGTACTGGAGAGGAGGCTACGGCCGATGGTCGAATCTCGGATCCAGGAGGAGCAGTGTGGTTTTCGTCCCGGTCGCGGAACACTGGACCAGCTCTATACTCTCCATCGGATACTCGAGGGTTCATGGGAGTTCGCCCAACCTGTCCACATGTGCTTTGTGGATTTGGAGAAGGCGTTCGACTGTGTTCCCCGGGGTGTCCTTTGGGGGGTTCTGCGGGAGTACGGGGTCGGGGGTCCTCTGCTGAGGGCCATCCGATCCCTGTATGACCGGAGCCAGAGCTGTGTTCGCATTGCCGGCAGTAAGTCAGACCTGTTCCCGGTGAATGTTGGCCTCCGACAGGGCTGCCCTTTGTCACCGGTTCTGTTCACTGTATTTATGGACAGAATATCTAGGCGCAGCCAGGGGTCGGAGGGGGTCCGGTTCGGGGACCACAGGATTTCATCTCTGCTGTTTGCGGACGATGTTGTCCTGTTGGCTCCAACGAACCAGGACCTGCAGCATTCACTGGGACGGTTTGCAGCCGAGTGTGAAGCGGCTGGGATGAGAATCAGCACCTCCAAATCTGAGGCCATGGTGCTCGACCGGAAAAAGGTGCCCTGCCCTCTTCAGGTGGGTGGAGAGGTCCTTCCTCAAGTGGAGGAGTTCAA